ATTACCAAGGTTTAATTAGGTATTAGGTGATTGGAAGGTATCGAAGGAAACATCGACGGTAATTAGTGCAAGTCACGCCCAGGTCAAACCTCATACTTCCATTAGAAGAGCGCATTGGATTGTGGGAAAATCAATGTTTATCAACACAAATGTCGCATAAGCGCAGCGCGACGATTACCGCATTTAAAACATGTAACCAAATCTGTTTTAGATCATGATTAACCTTGCATTCAAATAAAATTTTGGAAAAACATGCCTATATGGTGATCTCGTATTTTTAGGGATAAAATATTAACTCTGTCAAGTTATGCTGTTCACATTTCAGGTTACTGGACGAGATTCCGAATGATAAAACGACGGCATTTACGTTTTGGGCCTTCGTTATCAGAATATTTGAAGCCTTTTTCAGCGTGGTCAGTGTGAATGCCTCGACTGCGATCATCTTCCATTCTTATCCACTCAGCGTTCAGAGCACCATTATGGTACGTTTTCTTTTTACAGTGCGCCCTCTCTGTCATAGTCTGCCAGTGAATCGCACGGTTTCGTGAAGTCTATGTAAACATAGAACTCCCATGAACCTTATTTATAAGTATGTGTCTACCTTAATGGAATAACTTGAAATAAAATGAAATGAAATAAAAGTTGTAAACTATTACATGTACAATAGGTTGTTTTGCATATTGGTCTTTGACCCCCCGTTTTCTTACTCATAGGGCATAACAAATATGTTCTTTGGTGCGGGTTTAACCGCTGGACCGTTGCTAGGAGGCATTTTATACGACGTAAGTTGAACAAATATCTTATAATGTAAAATATCTGCTTGAAATATACACCACAATATTCACAATGCTAGTCCTTTACTGACAGATCTCGCCGTCCCAAATCTTCTCCCACTATCTCGCTGGATTATGGTAGAACGGTTCACCATATCTGTGTGTGATTTCTTTTCAGCTTGGCGGATATAAACTTCCATTTTTCGTAATTGGAGCATTGATTTTACTGTCAGTGCCATTAAACTGCTTCGTTGTGGACAAAAATATTGGTAAGTCGTTACTACATCTGATATTCGGTTGTAATAGTGCATGAGTGAACTAGCCCCATACAATTAACTTAACACGTGATTCTTCAAAATCCCTTCGTCTGTATTCAAAGAACACAAAGCACATACATGTATTCACAATATTCAAGTTGAAGGATTTATTAAGTTCTTTTTTCTTATGGATTATACTGAATCTAAATGCCAGCTCATTAAAATCCAATTATGTTCGTTTTTTTCTCTCTGGGCAAGCAAATAACACATCGTACAAAATTATGCATCTCAGCGCCATGTTGTATATAGCCGTATGCAAATAGACCATTTTCCGTTCACTGCGAGATCCCGCGTTATGCGTGAAATCGAACATAAAAATAGGACAAACAAAGGTCATAGAGTCGTAGTGGCGACAAAGTATTTTGGGGATATTTCCATGCTTAATAATGTGCTGTACACATTTGATGATGGTCAATTTCGATGAAGCATGGAGTTAATCTTTTTTTGACTCTATGGATGAAGTAAGGATATTCAAACGCATTATTTCATTATTATATTATATTTCATTATCATTTTCAAAGATCGGCCTCACGAAATTGAACTATGAAAAAAGAAATTCGAGTTCAAAATCAAATCATTGATTTTTTTTCGGCATCTCGCAGTTAAACGGAAATTCACCTGTTTGGCTTATTAGGCGTAAATGGTCACCAAGATCTAGTTGAGAGTGAAGGAGTCACGTGATTGTGTCTTCTTTCCCGTCGTCGCTTCCACTTTGCAAATACCATGGTAACATAACGCAGGAAAATAGTGGTCGCTGTGAAGGGAGGGAATGGAACACTGTTGCAGTGACTAATGAGGAACATTTTAATTGTATAGATAGCTCGGTTAATCTGATGTGTTTTAAATGTTTGTTCCATACTTTCGTCTACAATTCGGCACCGCTCTGTGTTTGTGATTCTATCATGCGTATGACTACATGTTCGGTTCCGCCTCATGTTTGTGAATTCACCATGCGTATGACTACAGTTCGGTTCCGCCTCATGTTCGGCTCCCCCTTGTTCTTTTTTTTTAATTCCTCACTTATTTTGCAGACACTATCAGGGAAACGAGTTCTGTGGTTGAGATGTTCAAAACAGCTCCGGGAGTATGCTTTCCAGCAATGGCGAGAATGACGACGGGGATAGTGAATTCGTTTATTTTGCCAATTCTATCGTCGTATTTAACTACCCAGGTGAGTGTCCGTCGATTTGAAGAAAAAACACGTGTGATTTGACCTTCTTGGGTCGTCCACACCGTGTGCAAGGCAGCAAAGTGGATTCGTCTGAAATATATATGATAAAATGCAATAAGTTCGTCATCGACATTATTTTGCTAATTAAAACAACATTATTCTATTTTCAGTATAATATTACAAGCAAAACAAAACAGGGACTAATTTTCTCACTGATGACGCTTGGTTACGTAGTTGGTTCTCCAATTTGGGGTTGGATTGGCGACAAAAAAGTAAGTATATGCGAACCTTATTGAAACGTTCACAGGACGCCATAACGGAAGCAAACGATTAGGCTAAATTTGAGTAGACACATTGAATTATGGGATACTCTCAGAATGGAAGAGTAAGATTAAATCATGATTGGGGTAACCAGGCATCATGCATAAGTAACATCTAATACCAATATTTACTGTTTAATTTAAGTCTATTTATGTTTCACTATTCTAGATAATTACGTTGAAATATTAACAATAATTTTACGCGAAAAGTTGACGAGGCAATAAGGTCACAACTACATATTGATTGTCGTGTGATTTCGTGATCATCTCGCGATTCCGTATGACTTGAATAGGATTTCATCATATCACAGTCCCTTTATCGGGACTGTGATCGCATATAACATTGTTTGCATACTCTTCGTCATATTATTTCTATATTTCATTTATTAGGTAACACATAATGACTGGCTTGTAAAGACGCGGATATTAGAATTACATTGTTACCCGACAGTCATTACAATTGTTATGACGATATCTCAAAATTGAATGTTTGGACAATTTTTTATATGCAATATTGTTAAAGCGGGGGTCGGCACCTGCGCATGCGTCAGATGGCCAAGCATCTACCCATGAGCCTTTGCGTTTTAGCGTGTGCTGTTATCATCGCTTGGGACTCAATTCCCGCGCGTGCGCAGGTGACAGCCCTCTCGCTTTAAGTGCCCTGGTATACAATTACGCACGACAACTAATGAAATAATGAAAAACGCATGTAAACTGTCATTTCGTGGGCAAAATGCATTGTGGGTACATCATAATATCAATGACGCATTTTTTTTTCGTTCCAGGGCCTTCTAAGATGGGCTATTTTGATTGGTCTAATCGGAATTAGTATAGATTGTTTTTTCTTGGGGCCATGTCCGTGGTTCGATATTCCAAAGTAAGTTTGGATAACATTCAAGAAGCTGGTGATATGTTCTGGTGGAAATTTTGAACATAAGGTGACTGTGTGTTAAACAGTCTGTGTATTTATTCTGATAACAGCAAATTCATTGACGTTTTGTCATTCGGATGAAAGAGACAAGATTTTTTTCCAAGTATTCTGGTAGTTAGTAATTGTACTTTTTTATTTTCTCTTTTTCAGTTATTTATGGCTACTGGCCCTCACCTTGTTTTTAATTGGGTTCGGCGCTGCTGTAGGTGTGATCGTCATCGTTGACATCATGGAAAAATGCAAGTAAGTTCAAGTTGTCCATGTACTTCAGAACAATAATTTGATTTTTAGTGTTATGTTGTCATCTTCTTGATCGACACCACTTTTATATCAATTCATATTAATATATTTTATATGAAAACCTGATTTGAAGTAATATTTGAAGTAATAAATAAAAAAATGTAATCAATTTTACGCTGAACGTTGGCGGCGCCTGACCCACTTGTACACATTTTCTTTCAGATCAAATGGCATGGAAGAAACGTTAGCGCTCGGTGCTTTGGTATCCGGCGTGTATTACTGCGCATATTTCCTTGGGTAAGCTAATACATGTAGTTTATGTGGATTTGATTAAGTCACATGACAAGAGATTTATTTTCACGCTTGAATATGTGGACACTCAGTCACACAGAGTGAAATATTGTACATGAAGTATTACGTGAACAAATGTTTGAAAAAACTGCTGGTCATTAGAAAGTCTGAGTAAAAATACAGCAATACCATCGTGAAAATGTAAGGAAAGGGAAAACAAAACTTGTATGGTATTCAAGTTTTCACTGGTCAACAGCCTAATCAAAGCTTTTATCGATTGTGGTTATGTCAACGTTTGTCATCCTGGCACCCACTGAGTTCGCTTTTACATTTACAGTTTACATCTAAAGAGAAGGAATAACTAGAACAACAAGTAGACGCGTGTTGGGATTTTATAATTTATATATTTTATTGCTGTATATGTATGCTTATGAGTTAAGAACAAATATTGAGTTATGAGTTATAATATATGACTTCCGTCTATTACAGAACTGCCATCGGACCAATTCTTGGTGGCGCCTTCTACGCGCTTTGGGGATGGGGGTGGACCACGACTGCAGCTGGATTCATCTGTATATTGACAAGTTTGATCTACGCTGCGTACATGATCCACGAAACCATCCGGGAAAAACGGAGAAAGGCCTATGGAGATCTGGAGGGACAGGAAGCCATAACAAAAGAATTCGAACTAAATAACGACTTCGGCGATGAAAATGGAAAACTAAATTACGGCCTCAACGATGAAAATGAGAAAGTCCCGATCAGTAAAGCCTACCCGCATTATACGGAAGAGGAATAAATATCACGTAGAACAATTGGTTCAACATTACCAAGGGGTATTTTATTTCACTCGAGAACGAGGCTGCTGATGAACCACGTGATTTGTTCTATTCACAGTCACATGTTCTTACAATCTCTTTCCACAGGGATTTGTGTGATACGCAGCCTTCAATTTCAAGTTTGTGTGGCCATTTATCTCACTACGCATAATCTTTTTCCCCAAATCATTTTACTTCATAAGAAACTCACCTGCCTCATCACGTTTTCGGATTACAGTGCACCTTCAGCCCCATACCGTTCAAGTTGGTCACTATTTGGATACACGTTCTCCGGCGTCCCTATCTAACACGATTTTCTACGAAAATAAATTTTGCATTTCTAAACACACTTTCTCTATCAAAGCACAATTTCAAGGGTAGTCAGCGATTAAAATTTATCGCCAGAATTTCTTAACTTTTTCTGCCTTCTTTTAATTTGTGCTGTTCTCGGACAAAAAAAAAAACAGATAAAAAGATGAGTGATTGATCTACTTTTCGTACACACATTTTTTCAAACACCAATGGAAATTGCGTTTTTTTTTTATCTATTTACATTGGTTTCTATGGTAAAAATACGTCAACTGAAAACTATTTTAGCATTAAATCCTATAAAAATATTTCCAAAAAAGCCATGTTTTGTATGTTTTCAGACAGTTTTCTTCAAAAAATATTTTGTACGAAATATACAAGCCCGAAAGTTGACGATTTGTGGTTAAATCAACAACTGTGGAACACTTTTCAAACAAAACGTGATAATGTGTAATGTGTGCTTTTATCTAATAGGCCAAATGCCAATAAAATATCAATAAAAGCAAATTTAAGTCACATTGACTTACAGTGTGATCTGTATTCCTAGATGGTTGTATATAACGCAATTTTCCCATGAATAGTAAATTTGTTGTCATTGTACCCCATTTATACCTGTATATTTGTCATTGATATGTTTGTTGTTGTTTTGTTAGTTTTTGTTTGTTATTATCGTCTTCATTCACATTTGTTTGTTTTTTGTACATTACTTTAGTCGGGATGTCAGATAATTCCAGTTATTAAACCATTGCTAAAACATCTGCTGGGACACAGACTCGACTAGTTTGAATGTCGTACGCCAATTCTGATTATTATTTTAGAATTTTGCTTATTGTTATTATTTACATTTTTACCATTATAAGAGTTATTGTTACTTCTGATTTAGTGAATAAATACATAAAATTAAAATAAATAAAATAATATCTCAAATATCAAATTTGTGCAGATCATAGATATTTAGGGATTCAACTCGCCGGCGTAACAAAATGGTGGAAAGATTCGAACATGGTTTTGTGCTAACTGAACGCATTTCCGAAGTAGCACTTTGGGAATTGTTTCTTGGTTTCAATAGGCCGTCTGACCGTGACGTCACTTGTTTACATTTATGCCGGCCAACCAGCTTGTAACTGTCTGATAACAAATGCCGCCCACTGATCAGCACAAGTTCACAAGCTGTTGTGACAACGTTACTAACAAGGTGTTTTATTAACGGGATACCTACGTGTATTTTTAAATACAACATTAGCTAACAACGTCGTTATTTTAAAGCGGGATGGTCGTCACCTGCGCACGCGCGGGAATTGAGTCCCAAGCGACGATAGAACACACGCTAAGAACGCAAAGGCTCATAGGTAGACGCTTGTTTGTAAACAATGACACGCTATGGTCACCTGACGCATGCGTAGGTGACGACTCTCCCGCTTTAACTTCACCTGCAAAAGACCAGTTCTTGCCAGCCAGTAACTACGCACGCGCACGAACGCCGATAAGTGCGATGACCTAGACTTATTTGTCATAATGTCTTTTTTGCAATTCAATTCTGTGTATTATTTCTTTTTTATTCACCCTATCACTTTGACGAATACAATTACAAATAAGGGAATTCTGAATTCGAGATCACTAAGCAAAATACAATTTCAACAGGTAACGCCATCCAGCGACAAAGCGCGTCAGTGACGTAAATACGAGGAAAGTCGGGACTTCTTTTTTTGTTTGTGATCGCTAAAAAGGACTTAAACAATTAATTATTTCTTATGCGCCAAATGTTTCGTTTTTGAGAGATCGCGTTTTTGAAAGATTTACTCAGAACTCTAAATAACGACTGACTACACTACCACCCACGCGTAGCTTTCACCAGTCTACGTCATTTGCACGACACAGAAGCGCGTTGATGAGAGAGGGTGCACTTTTAGGAAAGGTATACGAAAAGGGATGAAATGACATTTATTTAATTTCATATAGTTGGCCGCAATCTTTAAACAACCACAATAGTGCCTGCCTGCTCTACTCCAAAATAAAAACGTGCGGAATGAAACGTATTAGAGAAACTGAATCTGGCCAGTTCTCCCAAGTTGTCAATACTTCATACAGTATTTCCTCGTACCAGTATTTAAACGTTTGACGCCGGCATCAGATCAATATGCTTTGAAAACAAAACGACAGTTCACAATGAGATTGAAAACAAAGTTGAAATCCTTCACTCAACCTGAACATCATTCCATCAAATCTACACAATGTATTCACTCATTGACTCACTGCTATATCTATTTAATGGATACATACGAACGCGAGCTCCACAAAAACTGAATACGTTAACAAAATTAAAGGGTCATGACGTTATCAGCGTTACCATAGCAACCTGTTTTAATTTAGCAATGGCACGCGCTCTTTGACTTACAAATACTCATTATCATCTTAACCTGCCAGCACCATATGTAAGTGTGGTCCGTGCTATTCATAAACCATGCCATGGCATTAGATGCTTGTTATTCACGATAAATCAGCAAAAAAAAAGAGGACGGGACAACTTTCTTTGCTTTGTGGCATGGTCATACAAACACCGTGTGTACATGTAATCATACCAGTCGTAATTTTGTCTCCATCTTTTTTGTGACATTGACATTGGCGTCTTATGTGTGGAATCAGAACATCCGTAGAAATATCTTTCACTAAGTGTGGAGTACATTACTGCACTTGTATTCAGTGCATCATGGGTGAGACCCCCCAATTATAGTTAATGTAAAATTATTACTAGATTCTTCCTGGAATCGGACTGAATTAAATGTAAATTTTTGAAACAATATAACAATATTAAGATTTGTATCAATAATAATATACTAGTATGACATTTGAATAAGTAATATCACCATAGAAACAAGTGTGAAAGTGGCAATTTTTACTATTTCCCACGACATTTTGGATTCCTGTATCTCGAAAAATTGTTTGGTTACTCATTTTCGGTATTTTTATGGAACGAACCCATTTTCGGTATTTTTATGGAACGAAACCATTTTCGGTATTTTTATGGAACGAACCCATTTTCGGTATTTTTATGGCACGACCCATTTTCGGTATTTTTATGGAACGAACCCATTTTCGGTATTTTTATGGAACGAACCCATTTTCGGTATTTTTATGGAACGAACCCATTTTCGGTATTTTTTATGGAACGACCCATAATAATGAGAGTTTGATGAACATGGCATAAAATCTTCAATTTTAGCTTGAATCTCCTTAAAGTTCAAAATGGATAAGAATATGCGATGTGAATAATGTTGCGTGATACTACAGCAAGTTTAAAACTTATTCATAATGAATTATGTTCGTTGTTTTTGTAGCAAACAACTTATTTACCGTTTTATGACAAATTTTAAAACAATAACACGCATGGTCACTGGATATTTTGGTACGTACACAAATGTTCATGCTCTACTATGCGCCGCACAACTTAGTTCGTAAGAAATGGATTGTTTGAGTACAAAGGTTTTAATATTTTAAAGAAACGTTTTAAGAAAATAATTTAGAATATTTATTTTATCGTGACAGGAACAAACTAGCTCGATTTTTGGTACAGCAGCAAACAAATTCGTTTAATGAAACTTTATAATACTCATATGGATGGATTTCCCTTTAACAAATTTACGTACAGGTTCTACGAAGCGCACGTGCGTCATTTTCATCTCGATAGTTCTTCTGAGACTTAATGCTCTCGTCTGGGATTTATTCAAGATTAGGTAATGTATTGTTAGATATTCTTATATCAATGTGCATTTGGCCACAATATTGATATTATTTCACTTAGTGTGAGAGCGATGTCTGGGGTTTTCCTAAACGTGAGTAAATGGACATAGTCCCTGTTTGATCGGGATAAGCTTTGTCTATTTGTGATAAATTTTTGCTGAAAGTATTGTCTCGATTGTCGTTTCCTTATGCACTTGTTATTGTTAAGACCGTCAGACTATTTGATGGTCATGCGTACAACACGATTGAAAATGACCACTTTTAGGGAAATAGTGCATTTGCTAGTGGTTTAAAGTATCGGCTTTGATGAAATACGAACGAGGGTGGGCGTGGATGACGTAGACATGGATGTCGTTAAAATCTTTCCTCCGTATAGGTAGATAATCCCCGGCTATTTAAAGTGCTGTCATCTGCAGCTTTCCAAAGTGGGCGTGACCTGTTATCCGTCAAAGACTAGCTGCATAAGAAGAGTTCTAAGAAGTTTCTTTTCTAGTATGCGTACCAGCGAACGTGTGTTGATACATGTATTTCAATAACTACCGACGAATGGTTTTTATTTTATATTTTTTAGTGTAATTTCCTCTCATCCGTAAACGGAATAGTCTGCGAGTATCTGTCTCCCACCACATAGGATTCCGTTTAGTTTACCACTGCTTATCAGTAAATTGACTAGCCATGAATGCTACTGAGTTTAAACGACACGGTAAGGAGATGGTCGACTATATCATACACTACTTACAAACCGTGGAACATAGGCGAGTTACGCCCGACGTCAAGCCCGGATATATGCGTAAACTACTACCGAGCAAAGCTCCGGAAAAACCCGAACGATGGGAATCTATATTCAGTGATATCGAGAGGGTCATAATGCCGGGGGTAAGTAGTTTTAAGTATTCTGTTAGGCCGTTGGGAAAATGTATATACTTGTATGATGTGCGTTGCCTCTTGGGGAATTGTATGTGTTGTGTTTTATGCGTTTCGCGCGTAATCATTCTATATTTGGAATTCGCATTTCCTAATATGGTAGGATGAAAATAACCAGTAAAATACCGCAACATTACGGAACGCTGTAACTTATGGCGTTACGTTGACAGAGAGTTTACAGCTTACACGGTGGCGGAGATAAGATATAAGTATGTGGGTGCGTGGGGATGGGCGGGTCCGGTTTGAATTTGGTACCAAACTGGGTTCAATTTGTATTAAATTATTTAACACAAACCCGGGTCTACTTTGGTACCGATATGTATATGTCAAACTGTTACATCGTGATTGTTTTTTCATACATTATCATAAAGTGATAGATTTCAACAACATAATTTGTACCGAATTTCGTGATTTTAGAAATTAATAATATACTTTTTCAGCTTAAATGTAAAATGAACACTTTCAACATTGCGACAAATCCAGCCCCAGAGCGAGAAAGTTATAAAACATTTACGTAATAATAAGGAACATATATAGTCCTGCAACACTCTGTTATTGTTTCCTGTGTGTTCAAGTCCAGAACCGTTTATTCTACTTTTTGAACGCAAAATAAATTACACCATTCAATGTTACAGGGTTCGAGCTCCGAGTCCTACATGGCAGTTTAACGGCACAAAATAGATTGAAAATTCAGTCACAGATACATCACACAGAAAATAATTATATTGTCTGCAGTTGCACTGGTCAACGGTAAATGGCTTGTTTCCCGTGAATCGCAGTGGAATATAGTCATAGTGGAATATTTTATGTAACATTGACGCAAATAATAGTTTAAAAAATGATTAAGTTGTATATCATATTTTTTTTAGCCTTCGACGTATAAAGTACGGTGTATGCGTAATGGTATATAAAATACAACAATTTCGTTACTTCTAATATATACGGGTTAGATTTTGTTTGCATACAGCCGAAACATTGTCGAACACGTATGTAGATTCGGACGTCACGGTGATTATGATTTCAAAATCTTAGGACGCCACCAAGTCCAGCAATCGAACGCGAAGCTGACGTTTATAATGAGTACTTCCTGTGTGGATTTGTCTGACGGAAACCGGCTGTGCATATATTTATTTAACTGTCCCGTTCCTTCTAACATTTTAAAGATCATTCATTCTAACTTTATATAAATTATTCTTCGCACATCATTATACTTCTTAGGCTAGTTGTCAAACCTCAACTGCAACCTGTCTTGGCCTAAGATCATACCACTTGTCCTGTCTTCAGCAGACTTGTGGCTTCCGTTTATCACGTTTATCAAGACACTTCCGCCCTTTCCCGGAGAAACTTCACAAAAATGCTATTCTTGATTTCTGTAAACTGTCTACTCAAACTTTAATATTTCACTGAAAAGTATTCCTCCAATCCATCATTAAATTTGACACTCGTATTCAATGTGAACTGAAAAAGCATGACAATATTTCTGTAGCCAGATTTGCACTAGGATGACAAACAAGGGAAGAGCGGCATATATATCATTCAATAAACCACATTTCCTCTACAGATGATCTGTGAATAAACTATTCACCAAATGCAAGCAGTACTTGCTCCTGTTCTTGCAGACTTACTGACTACAAACTCCCACAACACCGGAAATAAATATCACATCCATAATGCGAACACCAGTTAACACCATCTTAAATCGCAATGTTACTAGTATTTTATTTTGCACCATATTGTATTATATTGAGTATATTTACATGCATTTTATTCCCATTAATGGATGTGATGAATTAATATTGTTTTTAAATGAATTAATATACGTGTCACTTATTATACACTTATTAATATGCGAACGCTGCTATTGATATTAGCTATTGCATATATTAAAGGGCGGCAGTCGTCGCGCCGCGTCCTGTTCGATATGAGACTCATAGCGACGTATACAACGCGTGTACAATACATTGTTTATTTACATGAAATTCAAACACGCACTGCGCGACGACCACCGCGCTTTAAAGACTTGTAAGTCAAATAATTTAGCAGATAAAACATCTTCAACATTTTTTTTAAGTAAGAAGAAGTGTTTTTACCAAATAACGTCTTTATATTTGCATGAAATAGTTGAAATTGCTCTTTCTCAGTAAAATACTGCAGCTGAAAAGTTAACTGGGAGTCTCTTTTATATAGTCGCCCCTAAATCCGTATAAGAAGATTACAGATACACAATTTACTTCAGGCCGAATTTCCATGCAATACTTAAAGGGCGGCAGTCGTCGCGCCGCATCCTGTTCGATATGGGACTCATAGCGACGTATACAACGCGTGTAAAATACATTGTTTATTTACATGAAATTCGAACACGCACTGCGCGACGACCACCGCGCTTTAACTGTAAATGTTCTATTATGAGGTATTTATTAACTGACTAATATGTATGCTTGTGTTTGCTTGCCCAGATAACTCATTGGCAGCACCCAAGATTCCACGCATATTTCCCAGCAGGCAATGCGTATCCATCTATTTTAGGAGATATGTTATCAGACGCGATTGGCTGCATCGGATTCTCGTGGGTAAGTATGTTTCAATATACCGAGAACAAACTGTGTAGACGTCTGGAAAATAGGTCTGGGTATTCTAGGATATGCGTGTATATCTGGCCTTACTTCATGTAATGATGCGAATACAATGATTTTTTTATTGTTGTCTCATTTACATAAATTGACGTTAAATGCTTGGATGCCTCTTCACAAGCGACGCCTAGCCACAATGCTAGTAATATCTCTGTCCGGTCAGTCGTTTACCCTAAATTTGAATATAATTTGAATATGCTGTCAACACAAGCAATGTCAGTCGCCGAGGGTTGTAGATTTCCCGGCATGTCATCCCATAATGTGTGACGTGTGCATTGGTTATGACTTATTAGTAGCAACGTAGTTAGGCGTTCGTGGAGTGCATGGAAAATAACATTCCAACATTCTTATTTTAACAGGCTGCCAGTCCAGCATGTACGGAGTTGGAGACCATAGTACTCGACTGGGTAGGAAGGATGATCGGTCTACCCAGACATCTTTTATCACTTTCAGATGGTGCCAGGGGTGGCGGTGTTATTCAGGTAATTCAACCGTTTGATTGAAATTTTAATGTATGCATAACACATAAATATGTTCGTGAAGTGTTATGTCATACCGAACATATACATAATCATGCTATAATATTGTTGCTCTGTTTGAACATTTTCTATGATACAATGCTGGCGTCATAACTACAAAGTGATCTGCAGCCATGACGATTCGTTATCAGTATACTTTATACATAAAAGGCCGCGAGATCTCCTTTAGTGCAAGATATTCACAATATTTTTTTATTCATGTAACCATGGAACAGTGATCTGAATGACGCGAGATTATCTAACACTATTTTAAAGGAAAACGAGAACATGGCGGCCATTCACATCTAAAGTTATATTCGTTGTGTGTTAAATTATAATTCAACCGCAGCCAAATTACGTTTGATTGAAGTCTTTAATAACAAATGAACTTCGAAAAGCACTCATATAATATTGTCAGTATTCTGTTAGAAACGCAATATAAAGTATTTTGAGTATTCATAACTTCAAAAACGCAAATACGCATGCGCACCGGATTTGCCTGTCCGTGCAGGTAATTCGAAGCGCAGACACAGAAATCTAACTACATTTCGACTTGTTAAAGTTGTTTGAAAAGAAACGCTATACTATTATCGATTTTGTCGGCATTTTCTCGGTACACGGTGCAGCGTTACGCTAATAATACTTCACTGGTGCGCAGCCGCGCGCGTTGCCATTAAAGCATACGACCACGATGCACTGTACGCTGGCATCATTGTTGAACTGTGAAATGCATTGTCTGTTTTTTTCTTTATGCCAGGGTTCAGCAAGTGAGTGTATATTAGTATCATTACTAGCTGCGAGAACAGAAGCGATGAGAAAGTTAAAATGTCTGCATCCAGATATTGACGAGTACGTGTTGCTATCCAAACTTGTGGCTTACTGCTCAACACAGGTGAGTAAGTTAAGTAAATACTCGATTCTATCAATTCGATATTCCCCCTTACTCCGTATTTCCGGAATGAGGAAGTCGACTATATAATCACCAATCGTCAGACTTAAATATTACACTCACTGTGTTCCACAGACACATTCGTCAGCTGAGAAGGCGGGAAGGATCGCCTATGTAAGGATGCGCTTGCTTCCAACAGACGACAAAGGTTCACTCAGAGGAAAAACTGTTGACGAAGCCATGAAGGTTAGTTTAGTCTCAAATTTACGACATGGTACACAGACAAACACAATTATGCGAAAATTATGAGTAACAACAAATCGATAGTATTGAAGAAAAGTACAGCTACATTTGATTGCGTGATTTTATAAAATTCTCAAACAAAAAGTAGGAGGACGAAAACCGCTTTCTAACTTGATCCTTGAACAAAATGGCCGCCTTTTCGCGCAGCGCTAAGAGTAGGAGCTACAAACTACGTAGGTTGGTTCCTTGATATCTTAAGTCAATGTTGCTCAACAATTTGAGAGCCATATTGTGTCTCGCCAACATTGTGGTGCAACATATCTGTTTTTATGTATTTAACTATAATTTACTTGATAATTTTAGACAAAATGGATAAAATTTTCTATTAGCTATATTTCATGATCAAAATTGTGAAAAATGTGAGTTTAGATTTGTCGTGGAAAGTGACAAAAATAGATTCAAAAGTTCAAAGGCCAAAGGCTTTGCTAAACTACAAGACGTCGACAATGTAAATCAACTGAAATGGATTTAGGATGGAATGAAAGACGCCAAACGTTTTAATACACATGAATCGTTTCGACGAGGAAAATAAGAACTGACCCGATGTAAAATTTAGTAGTCTCACCTCCTTTTTTTCTTCTTATTCAGCGTGACAAAAAGAATGGCCTCATTCCTATCTATGTAAGTATATTGCAATACACTTTTCCTAACATGAATCGCGCCCTCCAGTGACGAAACATTTCTGTGACGTAAATGGGTGACAAGATGGCCGTTCAAAGCGTCAATATCATTTTGATCTGCAGTTATTTATCAATGAAGATTATATTTTTTGAGAGATTTGACTATAATATTCTCGATTTGAAGACATTGGTTTCGCCTGCATACGTCATTCTGACGTCATAGAATCATTCCATTCTTAGAGAGCGTGTGTTACAGTGACGTATTTTGAGAAACTTGACCTGATATTTTTGACACTTTTCAAAACCTAGATTTTTGAAAACATTGAGGACAACAATTTTTTTGAGCATAGCCTAGAATTTGAGATATAGCATGACATTTCTATCACAGAAACCTAAGGTAAAGGCACTATTACTTACAAAATGGCCACCATCCACTAAAATACAATCATAATGTTCTCGAAAATTAAGCTGGTGACCCCAGCTTTTTTAAAGTCATTATGCTTATATTACAATTTATTGAAAAATTAATACATTTTGAGTAGGCTTCTACCTTAGGAACTATTATGTTTCGTGCTGTACATGTACCTAATTGTGAATTCCGTAATACCCGTAATTGTGAATACCCAATTCCGTAAATAGTAGACAGAGTGGGTAAAGAAGAACCATGTCACGTTTCTGAATGTTCAGTGTGTGTTTATTTTTGTTCAGGAACAAACAGAATTTTATAAGAACTCAACTTCTATGTTAGCCTAAGACCGGAACATATTCAATTTTAATTTATGTAAGAAAAGTTGTTTTGTGTAAACACAGACAGTTTTCGCTGGAATTATACATTTGTAAGCTGTACAGTACAATTGTCATTGAGGATTGTCAACGACAGATGCCCAGACTACTTAAATATTGTATATTCCTAAATGCTACAAGCATTGCAACGACATTTGGTTTATTTATTTTTTTTTGTGAAATTGTGACTGCATTTTTAAAAAATATGAAAAGTATACAACTAGTGTTATTGTGATAACAAATGCTTTACGAAACATAATGAAACGTCTTTTAACAGGTCTGTGGAACTCTGGGCACAACGGCGTCATGTGCTTTTGACAACCTCAAGGAAATTGGCTATGTATGCATTAAGAATAATACATGGTTTCATGTAGATGCCGCATATGCCGGAAGTGCTTTCATTTGTCCGGAATTCCGCTATTTACTCGAAGGAATAGAGGTAAGTGGTAGTGATTCACGATTACGATTGTGTACGGTATTCAAGAATAGGTTCCATTATGACAGAGATGTATTCTTTACTCGGTTTTGTGAGGGTTTGACGAATGAGAATAGTGTCAGCAAAAAGAGGCCACTGCGATTGAAAAATGAAAACTGCAAAATAAAATATACAGCTTGAGAAAATCTCAAAATTGAATAAATTGCGTATCCGAATCTCGTACCTGAATGTTCATTCAACCGAATCTTCAATCTGAAAAAGTGGTTGCACTTATCAATATTCACAAAATGAAATGGTGAACATGATCGGCTATACTCGTATGAGGATATTTAGATGTATAAATGTGTTCTTATTTCATTATTTCCAGTACGTGACGTCATTAAATATTAATCCAAATAAGTGGATGCTGGTAAACTTTGACTGTTCGCTAATGTGGTGAGTATTGCACAAACAAACAAACAAACAAACACACACACACACGCACAGTCAGTCGCCTAGAGAAGGACTGATACAAAGATGGGTACTGATTGACGAACAGTGCGTTGCGGTTAAATCACATCAAATTTAGGTAGAAAATACCATTCCATCGTTCCATCATAAAAATAGCTTTTAAATAGATTTTAGAGCTATGAGACTTGTTTGACGGAAAAGAATAAAACATTATTTGAGGGGTGAAAACAAGTTTCGTGGCTCTCTTTTTCTCAACGAGATTTCCGTGGCCATTAAGATATGGTCGCCACAGCGCGCCCTGTTTAATATGGGTCTTATGCGACACATACAACGCGTGTAGTGCCTTAACTGAAATAGAATATCTTTGTTTCATTTTCAGGATCAAGGACAGATCTCTACTCATTAATGCATTTGACGTTGACCCCGTTTATCTAAGACACGAAAATGCGGGTGAGATGATATTTCCAAAAAAATGTATACATTTTATGAAGTTAGACGTATCGTTGAGTTATAATACACACTTGCTTCTCATTTACTAGAAAATCATGATAACTAGCGAATGAACTGTTGATACGGTAAAAGGGGAGTCGATCGAAATTACGAACGGATGTCACGTGACCAATTATTCAGCAATTATACATTACACCATATACAACACTTTCAAAAATAAGTTTATATCGCGTTCTTTCAACAAATTGAAAAATAATAACAATACAGTCTTATCCATACTTTTCAGGTGTTGCCATAGACTACCGGGTGAGCATTATATATATATTTGTTGACAATAAAATACATATAATATATGTCACGTGCGAGACACGTCACGTTGATCGTACAAAGGTCTGGTCTAAGCCTCAGACTAGTAATATATTTTGTTTTTAGTCTGAGTCTAAGCCTCAGATTAGTAATATATTTTGTTTTTAGTCTGAGTCTAAGCCTCAGATTAGTAATATATTTTGTTTTTAGTCTGAGTCTAAGCCTCAGATTAGTAATATATTTTGTTTTTAGTCTGAGTCTAAGCCTCAGATTAGTAATATATTTTGTTTTTAGTCTGAGTCTAAGCCTCAGACTAGTAATATATTTTGTTTTTAGTCTGAGTCTAAGCCTCAGATTAGTAATATATTTTGTTTTTAGTCTGAGTCTAAGCCTCAGATTAGTAATATATTTTGTTTTTAGTCTGAGTCTAAGCCTCAGATTAGTAATATATTTTGTTTTTAGTCTGAGTCTAAGCCTCAGACTAGTAATATATTTTGTTTTTAGTCTGAGTCTAAGCCTCAGATTAGTAATATATTTTGTTTTTAGTCTGAGTCTAAGCCTCAGATTAGTAATATATTTTGTTTTTAGTCTGAGTCTAAGCCTCAGATTAGTAATATATTTTGTTTTTAGTCTGAGTCTAAGCCTCAGATTAGTAATATATTTTGTTTTTAGTCTGAGTCTAAGCCTCAGATTAGTAATATATTTTGTTTTTAGTCTGAGTCTAAGCCTAGGAATTGAATGGGAATATGTACAGGAATATGTTGTTATATCATACAAAAATACAGTACTAATTTCCCCCAAAATTAACCTACAAGTGATGTTGAACACGACAAAATATATATGCGGATTTGTGCGTTTCATTTTGTTCCTATTCTTCACAACCGATCAGATGAGTATCATTCTAATAATTTATCAACCCAAAATGTAAGGAGTGAACAGTTTATAATGTATCCTTATAGATAATCAACAAACCGGTTGTTTTGCAGCATTGGGGCATTCCTTTGAGTAGACGTTTTCGCTCCTTAAAAATATGGTTTGTTGTGCGTTCCTATGGAGTGGACGGCCTGAGGAAGTACATTAGAAACGTGAGTATTATTTCAGTCCAAATAATATATAGAACAGATGTTTTTCGGGGAATTGCGTCAGTCAATTCAGTGTCCATATACAGTAATCTATAGTATAAGAATAACTATAGACATGTTTTACCCAAGACGACAGTGTCATTGGAAATGGTCCTTGTAAATGTTATATTCGCGTGTCACATGTTCATGACATTATTTCAATAATTTAACTGTACTGCTTGTTCCTAATTGTAATCTTAATAGCACGTGAAATTGGCAAAGAAATTCGAAGCGCTTGTATTGACGGACAGCCGTTTTGAAGTCATTGGCGATGTGGTTATGGGATTGGTCTGCTTCCGACTCAAGGTGCGTTGGTTCCCGGAGTTTGCTATTAACACAAATACTAGTATTTTGTTATTAACTTGAATGATTT